AATTCCACTGTGTTCTTTTCTAATATTGAAATTCTCTCTCTCTCTCTCTCTCTCTCTCTCTCTCTCTCTCTCTCTCTCTCTCTCTTTTGGACTGGTCTGACCACTCAGAATCTCACTACTATGGTCTTCTAACGTGTTGTACAGTAGATCTTTAATTTAAATGTTTTTCATTTTGTGTAACAAACTTCATATCCATTCAATAACAAAGTGCATGTCCCCCACACTGCAGTCCTTAGCAAACACCCTTTTGTTTTCGGCTTTTCTGAGTTTGATTGTATTTTCTGTGCTTAAAAGTTCATTTTTCCTTGGGATTACGTTCTAGGGCCTGCCCCTTGGAGTTCGCTTCTCCCTTTGCTAGGTCAGTTTCTCTACTTTTATGGCTTAAAATATCACACAGAAGCCAACATATTCTAAATATTGGTAGTTCATGTGTCTCTTAATAATAGGCCTTTATGTCTCTATCTCGTGTGTTCCACACAGCGTTTGTCCCTGTCGGTTTTCTTTTAGAGTCCTGTATTTCCCTAGTTGGCACACCTATAGGCGTTGCTCTTCAGGTGGGAGTCTGGAAGCTGTTCACGTTTCCTTCCTTGTCGGTCTCCTCCCCAGTCCCTCAGTGAGTCTCAACAGATTTACATTTGAAGATGTCTCATGGATGTATCTATCTAAAGTTATTCACAACTTTTTGCTATTACCATTAATGTCACAATTTCAAATGAACTTCACTATATGTCATTTCGTATCATTAGCATACCAGAAATGGAATTGACAAACAAAAGTGCAAATGACTATGTAATTTTAGTAGATATTGCTCATTCCCCACAAAGGCTCAATATGATTAGACAAAGAACTATTTTACAGTGGCATATCACATCATTGAGGATAAGACAATGTTAGCGTAAGACATGATTCAGAGTGACTTTGAGACACTTAAGCGAGGCAGAAATTTGCAGAACAAAACTTGGCAAATACCCAGAAGTCCAACAATACACATGTAAGCAAACAGGTGGAGACATAGAAATTAATGTACATGTTTGATGGATATCACAAAAAGTAAATGTCCTTTATGGGCAGCATAGAGCCATTGCAAATGCATATGGGGAGGCTGTGTCTTTTTTCCCTCCAAATTCATGCATCTACTATGTATTTGCATACTCACTACACTGACACTTTATAGGATCTTTTAATATCTGCTAGGGCTAATATCCCCTCATTACTCTTCTTCATAATGTTCTTATATAGTTTGAATTGTTTGTGTGACCCTTTGAATCAACTGGTTAGTTCCAAGAAATACTTTACTGAGAATTTTAGTAGGATCATAAAGTTTGTAATTTCATATAGTGAGAACTGATATATGTATGTTGTGAATATTTTTCAATTCAAGATAATGATATATCTTTCTTTTTGTGCAAGCCTCCTTTACGTCCTGCAGAAATGTTTTTAGATTTTCCTCAAATAGGATATGCACGTTTCTTCTTAAATTTACTGTTTGGCGTGCTAAGATTTTATTACTTTTGAAAATGATTTATATTAGCTAACTGGTTTCATTTATGGTTGTGAAGACTAATGGTGTCTATAATTTAATAATTACTTCTCCCTTAATTACCTTATTATGAAAATTTGTTAGTTGATTTGCTTGGATTTTCCAGGTAATGGTATAGTAAATGCAAATAGTTTCTTTTTCTTTTTTAACCTCTTTCTTTGTGCTTGCCTGATATGCCTTCCATGCAATGTAAAGTACTTTACGGTGAACTTGGAAAACTTACCCTGCTTCGAAGTGTAGCGGAGGGTTGTTTCCAGTGCTTTCCCATTGGTGTTGTGATTATAATATCTAAAAATCATAAAGCAATAGTATTTATCAATTCCTATTTTTTAAGGCTTTTTAAAAAATGTGTTTTGAATTTGCTCAAGTGCCATTCAGCATGGGTGGTGAGGCCTCACTCATGCCTTGAGGTTTCTAGCCCAAGGGGGAGATGGGCTGTGGATCTTAGATGCAGGGAAGGACCTGTTTACCTCAGGCCCAACCTCAGCACTCCAGATGGGACCCCAGTGAATGGGACAGGAGCGTCTTTTAGATTCTAGGTGGGCCCTGTGCTCTTGTTTCATTCCTTCTCCAAGAAATCAGTCAGTCTTTGCAAGGACAAAAGTTGAGTCTGGCTTCTCCTGACCACTTTGTGTTCCAGCTTTATCTTTGTTGATTTTGTTGTTTCCGCCTTTTCTGCCAGCAATTCTTTGCTGTTTTGTCAGCTGTTTATTCTCCATGGATTCTAGTTAGTGGCGTGGGGTTTTTCCTTTCACTGGAAATGAACACTGTTTTCTCCTGATAATTCTCAGCAATGTTCAGATGTCATATTAGAACATACAGACTGCTTATGTTGTTTGTTTGAACCAAATTTTTGGGTTTTTATTATTGTTGGGAAAAAAGATCCATAGCTTTTGCTGATGCCATGAAGAAACTACTCCACACCTCTTTCTCTGAGTGCATTTTACACTTTTCCCTTTTGGCCCGTCCATGCCAGGCACGGTAGGGTTCTTCCTGTGTCGCCTCTGTGCCCTCTCATAGGTGGTTGCCAGGAGTGGAATTCAAGCCCCGCCCCCTCCAACTGTGGCTGATTGACCACGTTCTCCAGGTGACCCTGGATCCTGCAGGAGGCTGTGAGCCCTGTTCCTCACTACACCCCTTCCTTCCCTGTCCTTCATTTTCCTACTTTACTGAGATTGCAGGTGTTTTACCCTTCTGCTGGCTGTTGCATTACAGATCACGTTTACCGCGACGTGCACGTGTGTCCAGGATCCTGTTACCATCCCCCTGAAGTCTTAATCCCGTCATTGCCTTCCCGCCTCCCCCACCCCCCCGCATTACCTGAACCAGCCCCTCTCAGCCTCTGGCCGACTCCGGCTGTGCCTGCTGGTCTGGCAGCCACTCCTGCTCCCCTTTATTCTGGTCCTCACATACGTGGCAGGGTGAGCCAGTGTGAGTTCCAGACTTCCCTCCTTGCAGCCTCTAGGAGCTTCTGCTCCTCTGCACCCAGCACGAATCTGGCTCTAGCCAAGGACTTTTAGACCCGATGTGATTTGCCCAGGACTGACCTCGGATTGTTCCTGACACCAGCCCCTCTGCAAGGCCCTTGTTCTGGCTTTGGGGAGGCTTCAAGTCAGGGCACTGGTTTGCTTCCTCACTTCATGGGGACTTCTTTAGTCACCATTTTAGCTTGCTTTATTGTTCTTTCAATTTTGATCTCTGCCTCCACATTGTGTGACAGCTACAGAGTTGTGTATTTATTTTTTGTCTTTCATTGCGATGTAATCCTTGAGGGAAGGGCTTAGCTTTGTTCCGAGCTGTCGCCTTTGATTCTGCCTAGCACCTAGTAGGCTACCTATAAATATTGGTTGAATATATATATAACTAGTACTAGGTATTGAGCCCAGGGCCTTTGCACTGAACTATAACCATAGCCTTTCTTACGTATTTATTGTTTTTGAGACAAGATCTTGCCGAGTCATTGAATTGTTCTGGCTGCTGGCTCAGCTTCCCAGAGTGCTGGAGTTGCAGGCATGTGCCACCATGCCACAATTATTAGTGAATATGTTCTGTCAGTCACTTTGAGCTGAGATCCTGGGAATCATCTGATTCTACTCCTGTTCTCTTTCTCAACTATACAGTCAATGTAGTTCCTTCTTTTAATTCCTAATTCAAATGCAGCCGTCATTGTACCCACGTTTAATTTCCAAATTAGATATAATTTCTGCCTTCAATTATTCATCTATAATTTAAATTCTATAATTACAGGTTTGAGATATATATATATATATATTATATAATTTTAAAATTTCATCCAAATTTAGACGTGTTTAATATGTTTGTGGACTTTATAAATGACAATGTAGGGTTTGGGGAGATGACTCAGTAGAATAAGTGCTTGCCTGGCAAGTGCAAGGTCTTGAGTTCAATCCCTGGTACCGCAAAAAATAAATAAACAAATAACAGTGTAAATCCTTGGCCAAAGATTTTGTAAAACTGTAGAGAGGAATGTGAATCTTCCATAAGTATCCATTGTAGTTTCAGAGAACAGAATTAATTTTTGAATATATTCAGCATTGGAATTAGTTCACTAGAACCCATTTAAAAAGTTAAGTAAGCTGTGTTCTAAATGACCTTAAGGATCATTTATGAAAAGGCATTTCTTTCCAGTAAGTTTGTATATCCAAGCTGTGCATCCATTTGTTGTGTGTGTAGCATGTGAATACCCTTCAAATCACTGCACATAATGAGCTCGCACTGCTCTGTGAAGGCATGTAAGATTTTTTGGGAAGATTTTTTGACTTAGTACCATAGCAAAGTGACAGTTGGATTAAAAAAAATGATACTTTTAGGCTTATAAAATTTATTTTTTAGGGCTGGCCAAATAGCTCAACGGATTAAAGTGCCTGCAAGCAATGTAGGGGCCAGGGGTTCGATCCCCAGGCCTGCCGGGCAGGCCCCACCCCCAGGCTTGCTCAGACAGCAACTGAGACTGCGCGCTCCTGTAATCCCAGCTCTTGGGAGACTGTAAACAGGAGAATCACTAGAGTCCGATCTAGTAGTGACACCTTGAACACCCTGTAGACCCTTCCCTAAAATACAGAAATAAAAATATTTTTTATTTCTTGTTCCTATTTACATGTTCTATCTTCTCACTGTTTTCAGCGCTCTCACACAGGTAGGTGCTCGATCCTTGCTGTACCCACAAGGTTACTCATTGAAGTTGTCATCAGATCGTTTTTACAGACTAGGAAACAAAGCTGAAGAGGCAATAGTCCTCTGAGATCAGAAGCTTAGTGAGGACGAAGCTGTCACTCTTAATTTATTGTTTTAGGGTAGCTTTGATTTTTTCCTCTTATTTTTTACTCCTGTTTATATTTTTAGTTTATTTGTTAACCACATAAATGGACTTAACACAAATTTATATTAAATGTATACAAATTTGTACAAATGTATACAATTACAAATGTACTCATTCTAGATCTTAACATTTGCCTGTGATGCCTGCAAACCAGTGGTACTGTATGTTCCTTCCAAACTGGATGCTGAGAAATTCATTGGTAGAGGTAAGAAACTGCCAGAGTATGTATCAATCCTAATTTGGTATTACTTATTGAAAATCAGTGTCAGTTTTAGAATAACTCTTTTGGGACAGTTAAACTTACTATGGTACACTGTCATTTGTAATACAAGATCATTATAATAAACAAATAATTGTTCTTTATTGGAAAATATGGTTATGAAGCATAAGGAAAAAGATGTAGCTTGAATAATGAAGTAATTTTTAATATTTACATTAGGAGAAGATATGGCCTATGCATACTGCTAAGAAATCGAGAAATACTATTAAGCTATTTCTTGAATTTGAAGGCATTGTGGATTCACCTGAGTTCACTTTCACACACTGTTGTTTTTGTCAAATAATTGTTTTACATAACTCAGTTCTAAAAGGAAAGCTCAAAGCAACGACAGTCCAGAAAAAGAATATTTTACAGATCCAGTGAGTCCAGAGGTATTTTAGCTTAGTAACTACCAGTTTAGATCAGGCAGGTCCTGTTTTTAAGTTTTCTTAGATGTTACTCTGTAGCTAATTTCATTTGATAAAGAAAATCCCTGGTTGGGTTTGGGTTACATATTCAAAGGTGGAAGTTCGTGTGCTTTTACTTATCAAGTGTTTTCTCTAAAATGATGTTAAAAGATGACTTTCTAAGCATTAGAAGTGATACGTGTGTTCAAGCGCAATTTAACTTCAGTTTTGCCTTTTTAAGAATGATGGATTTATAAACGTAATTTGTGGAATTTGAGCATTTGGGGTCCCCCATCCATACATTGGTACTCAATCAAGACATTGCTGTGTTTCCTCTTACACGTAACTGCTGTGTATGTTTTCTGCAGTCAACCTGGACGAGTGCTTTCGATCTGCAAATCTAATTCATTCAAGTGACCCTGATTTCCAAGTTTTAGAAGATGGATCTGTCTACACCACAAATGCTGTTCTTTTATCCTCACAGAAGAGAGAATTTATCGTATTACTTCTCAACACAGAGAGCCATGAAGAAAAGACGATTTCTGTCTTTTTAGAGACTCAAATAAAGGTATGAGGATGATATACGTGAAGTGTAATACTGTCATTTCTTAAGAGTTGTCTAAAATTGCAAGGTAAGACGTGGAATCAGGAATGATCAAAATAGTATCATTTGAAGAAAAATGAAAGCCATATAGCAACTTAGCAGTGTTTAAATGAAAAGGGGTTGGGTAGCATGGTTTATTTCAGGTCACCATTCCTTTTCATCTCATACGTAACAGGAGAAAATGGGATAAGAGTATAGGCTGAGGATTTGAGATTAGGTACAAAGAAGCATTTGCTGATGCTTTCCTGCAATGTGGGTTTTTGAAAATCATTTTTAAAACTCTGTAGATAAATGAAAACGTTGTCCTCATCATCCATCTTAGCGTTAGTTACAGTCTTAGACAGTAGGAGCTGTTTTAGGGGGAGGTGAGGACCTCGGGAGTGCCCACTGTGATACCCAGGATGAAAAGGGCTTCTGTTAGCCAGCGACCCTTCCTGGCTGCTGGATTTTAAGAGTAGTCACTGTGTTTCTCTCCTCGTTCTAACACAGATCTCTTTGTTGGTCCTTGGCTCTGCTTAACTGTTGGTGAGTTGAAGATGCTGCTGCTCAGTGTGGAACATACATCTGTTTTCTGTGCCTATCACTTCTGTCACGTTTCTGCATGGCAGTGGGACAATAGTAATCTTTTCCATTTTGTTTCTAGGCTTCCAGTCCCATCTCTCTTTCATCTGTGTTTCCACCAAGTTATTTTCTTCAAAACAATTATTGTAATCATAGCTAAGGCTATGATTTCTTCATCTTTTCACAGCATTGATTTTTGTTTTTTATGTACTGCTGTGGTCTTATGCGTCTCCAGCTAATCCTCACAAGGAAAAATATGTGATAAAGGTCTAACATTTGAAAACACTCATTACTTTTATTATTTATTTTGTTTTGTCTGTCTCCTAAATCAAGGTACAAGAAGAAAAACACTCTACAGAACAGCTTCTGAGACGTTCCAAGAGAAGATGGGCTCCTATTCCTTGCTCAATGGTAGAGAATTCTTTGGGGCCGTTCCCGCTGTTCCTACAACAGGTATAGTGTATTTTCCTTCTGCTCTCAAAGTGTGTATTTTCTATCTTTTAAAAAACCTGGCATTGATATGCATTTATTTAAGAACGATTGCATGAGGGCGGGAGGGGTGTAGCTCAGTGGCAGAGTGTTTGCCTAGCGTGCTTGATGTCCAGGGCTCGTTAACTGGTACTCCTCTACAGGTGTACTTCCAAAGCACTGAAGCTCAGTGTGTCATACCCATAGTCCCAGCTAGTGGGACTCTGGGGCAGGAGGGCTGCCAAGTTCAAGATAGCCTGAACAACTTAGAAGATCCTATATCCAAATAAAAAACTTAAAATATATATATATATATATATATATATATATATATATATATAAACATACATATTATATGTAACACGTATTATATAACGTGTATAGCATATAGCATATGTATTACATATAACATATTATATATTACAAATATTTTATATATATAATATTTGGTTCTGCACTTCCTAGATTCAACTGTTAGCATTGCACAAAAAACTATGTAAAAATACAAGTGAATGGCTGCATGTGTCACTTTTCAACATATTGTTGTAAGTGTATTTCCTTATCTGTGTGGATACTTTTTTGCAGCTTTACCCATGCAAGGCCCATCCACAGCACTGTAAAACTGAGGTATTCCTCAAACAACCATTTCTTTAGTGATTTTTTCTAATCAACAAGAATATCATGCAGTATAGGCATAGCCTTAAAAATCCAAAAATATCTTTTATAGTACAGGATGAAGTTACAAATACCACAAAGGATGAGGACGTGCGTGTCTTTCTATTGCCTCTTCCCAAGTCCGTTTCTTACATCACACCCTCATTTTCTGTCTCTTTGTTTGACTGTCATGGACACCCCTGGGAATCTTTCTGCCTTCTATTCTCGGGCCACTGTTGTTCAGTGTCTGACTTGTTCAGTGTATGACTCGAGATTTTTTTCCCCTCAGTTCTTGAAATGTGGAGACAGAGTCCTTCTTTATACCCCACTGACACACCTAATGCAGGTCAGAGAAGAGTATGCTAGCGTTAAGCAATAAATTGTTACGAAATAATTGTGTTAGTTATCCTGATGTAGTGATTGTCAAAATCCTACTGAAAGGAGGAAGAAAGCTTGTAAGAAATTTGCATTCTGAATCAAGGACTAAAATCTCACCCTTTCCACGGTGCTATTCCATATATATATATATAATTTTAAAATTTAGCTCCTATATTAGAGGACAAAGCTGAAGAATAATAAAAGTTTATGAGGAAAATTACTTTCCACATTTTGGCCTGGCAGATAGTACAATTTCAATCCAATTTCTGAAATATTTTGTCATATATATGACTAAAAGATTGTTTACGTGACACTAATTTTTCATGCTCAGAATAGTTTTGTTTCTGATATGGTAAAACGTTTTACATGTTTGTTCAAACATCCACTTAGCTTTTAAGCTAGTTCTTACTTATCCTGGAAAACAGATACTGTTGCATTATTTTTCTCATGCTTTGCTTTTGAAACTCCTCAGTTCCAAGGCCTCCTTATTTATTGGTGTTTTTTATTTATACATAAAAATAAATCAGAGGATGATTTGTTGTTATAAAAACAAAAATGTGATTGTATAATTACACAGCTGAACGTTCTGATGAAATAATTTGCCTTCTGTTTGTAATACCTACTCTTCAGATCCAATCTGACACAGCCCAAAACTACACCATATACTATTCCATCAGTGGGCCTGGAGTTGACCAAGAACCTCGAAATTTATTTTATGTGGAGAGAGATACTGGAAACCTGTACTGTCGAGGCCCGGTAGATCGTGAGCAGTATGAGTCTTTCCAGGTACAGTCTGAAGCTTGTGTGTTGTGTTAGTCGTTGTCAAGCTTGACAGTTTTGTGCCGCCTTCTTAATGCAGTTACCTTTTTATTTAATTAATTTCTTAGGTTGTCACTGATGCTTTGGCAACATCTAATAGCACAGCACTGAACTGAAGCTAAAAGAATTGTCATAGAATAAATAATATTAGTTGCTAGTGGATTGTTCCAGGCATTTGCTATTTTTTTATTTAATTAATTTTATTGAGAAAGAAATAGCAATGAGACAGTTTCAAAATAGGTTAGTAGGACAGTTACAATAATTAATACATTGCATATTGTCTTCATAGTAGTTATTCAGAGTACAAGATGCAGACATGGTATCTTGTCTAAGCACTATTAGCACAAATCTTTCTTCTCATTGAACTAAGAGAAAGTAGCTGTATATCTATCCTAACTCCATCAGCATTTGCTTTTGTGCAAAAGCAATAATGAGTGGCATTTTGAAGGGCAGTTAGTTAGCTGGTAGGACGGAGGGATGGGGGCCTGTGGATGGATTGGGGATACCATAGGGGGTGAACAAGGTTCAGAAGTTGCCCGAGCCTAAGTGTCTCTGCAGTGAGCTGGTGTCAGGGAATATGTAAGGTGTGTGGACAGTGCCTGGGAGCTTACTGTGTCTCCTCATCATCCAGCTAACTCCCACGCTGGGGTGAGCTCACGTGGAAGGGCTCATGCTGCTGACCTCGAGCAGTTGTGGCGTCCCAGCAGGACCGGATCACCACACTGAATTCAGTTTTAAGTATTTCATATCTATTTTGGATGAATTAATATGCCATCAGGAGATCAAATTATCCAAAAGGACATGCAAGCTTTGACTTAAGTATTTAAGTTTAGGATTGCTATGTGACCTTCCAAGTATCTACAGTGTTCTGCGTTTATAAGGCAAATTACAATTGAATTTTTTGGAAAATAAGAAATAATTTATATTTATATAAAATTTACATTCATTATATGTCTAACTCCTGCTTTTTAAATTAAGAAATTCTTAGGAACTTATTAACAACCACTGACAGGCTTAAAATATTAGTTAGTAGAAATGAGGATAATATCCCAGTTAACTGAATCTGGATGATTTGTAATCCTAAAAAATCTAAGTGAAGAAAGATCCTGATTATGTTTAAAAACTGTGAAGCTGTCAAGCAAAACCAAACCATCTCCAAATGTTTTTCAGAGAATTAATAATAAAAAATTGCATTTAGGGAGATTTGACAATGCTGAGGAAATTAAGATTATCTGTTATAGTCTTAAGTGAAATTAAAGGTTAAACTATACCATGAAATTAACTACTTCTTTTGGCATTAGTTATGCCCACATGCCAAAATAGTAACGGATGGTATTATGCTGCTCTGACCAGTCCTAACTAGAGCCCAAGTAAGTCTGGGTTGTAGCCGTTTCTTAACTTCTATTTTTATTACTGCAAGATTACAGTGCATGGCAGCTGCACTTATTGTGGGGAGTTGGTCCACATGCATAATGGACCTTAATTCTTTTTATGTCCCCCGCTCTTCCTCTGCTTCGTGTCCTGGTCTCCTTTCCATTTGCAAAAGGTCCATCTCTGGGTTTGCTATTATCTCTCTTTTATTTTGCCCTTTACTTTATTCATAGTTTGGGTTTCTCATATAAGAGAAGTATGTGATCTTTAACCTTTTGTGCCTGATTTTTTTCACTTAACTTATGAATTATATTTTATTTAAAAGACTATTTCTTTACTCTTCCGATTTATGCCCTTCCCAGCTGGTTGCCTTTGCGACAACTCCGGATGGGTACACACCAGAACTTCCATTGCCATTGGTAATCAAAGTGGAGGATGAAAATGATAACTACCCAATTTTTACAGAAACAACATACATTTTCACAGTTTTTGAAAATTGCAGAGTTGGTGAGTATCTGTTTGAAGACTATATGTCAGCTCAAGTGCATTTTAACAAATGAAGTGAATTTCACTACAGCCAGTAGAAAGGAACATAAAACTTGACAGTAAGAACAGTAAGAACAAGGGACACTAAATACAGTTAAGTCTGCTTTTCTCTAGCTGGGTGACCTTGGGCAAGCCACCGTCTTTAACAGTCTTTAGTTTCTTCATCTGTAAACTAGATTGTCAATGTGCCAGATTATTATGAAGGCTGACGGTGCGCAGTACACACGGAATGCCAAGCCCAGTACCTTAAAAAGAGATCTTACTTTGTCTTCCCGTGAAAGAAAATAAATATTGTTAAAAGGACATACTCCAAAAAAGGAAGCCTTTAGTGATTAGGAACTTACCTTTGAAGATAGCTACTGACATTCTGTAGTGATTCAACAAATAAGTGATAGTATTCTGAGAAAAATTATTATCAAGGTCATTTAGAATAATACAAATGTTTCCCCAATTTGGTTTAATTGGTCCATTTTAGCTGCAAATCAGAATGTGAATTTTGGGACTTGTTGAAAAAAATACTGAACCAATGGCCAGCCAGATAGCTCAGCAGACTGAAGTGCCTGCGTAGGCACAGCGCAGCAACTGGGGTCTGATCCCTGGCATGCCATGCTGGACCTGCTCCCGGGGCTCCCTGAGATGGTGACTGAGACTGGGCATGGTGGTGCACACCTGTAATTCCAGTTCTTGGGAAGCTGAAAACAGGAGGATCACTATGAGTCTGATCTGTGTAGTGAGACCCTATAGACCCTGTACTAAATACATTAAAAAAAAAAAAAAAAAAAAGCCTACCCAAGCCTGTAATTTTCAGAGAAAACTGACTTAGTGATTAGAAGTCCAGGCTTGCAAATAGAAAAAGACAAAGAATAATCAGAATGTTTTAGTTTAGAACTACAAAGTTCACAGAGAGAGAGTATCAACACTGGCAAATTACACATTCCATTCAGTAAAAGCAAACATGATCACCAAATTCCAGTAGGATATTTAAAGGAAGTGAGACTTTATGTAGAGTTTGGTCAACTAGGAAGCTATGACTCTACCGTAAATAAAGTGGTCCCGAACTTTGGGGGGTAAGTAGAGATGAGGGAAATAAGGTAGAGCTAAACGTGTAGAAGCTTTGGAAATTAAGCGCATTCCTATGTTCTCTAGGCACTACCGTGGGGCAGGTCTGTGCGACTGACAACGATGAGCCCGACACGATGCACACACGCCTGCGGTACTCAATCCTGGAGCAGCAGCCGGCGCGACCCACGCTTTTTACCATGCACCCATCCACAGGCGTGATCACCACAACATCATCTCAGCTCGACCGAGAGGTAGCGTAGCTATGGATAAAGAAAACTTGATTGTAATGTGGCTGCTAACGGTACAGGTTTATTATTTCTAAATTGAAAATCTGAAATCTAAAAAACTCCAAAATTTGAAGCTTTGTGAGCACCAGTGTGACATCAAATATGGAAAATTCCACAGCCACCCTCATGGACAAGTCAGAATAAAAACCCACACATGCTGAAAATACTGTGTAGAATTTCCTTTTAGCTGTGTCTGTGAGCGGTAAATGGAACAGAAGTGAATTTTGTGTTGGGACTTGAGTCCCACTGCCCAAATAATTCATTTCTCATAGGCAAAAATTGTAAAGTCAATAGACATCAGAAATCCAAAACCCTTTGAGTCCCAAGCATTTCAGAAAAGGGGTACTCAGAGCCTGCACCTGCAAACCTCTGTATATCATGGGTAGATGTGTTTTTAAAAAGCATGATGCGAATAAAAATTTAGAACAATTGTGAATTTAAGTATATGAATGGATATCATTAATAGCCGTGCAACATGCTATTTTTTAAGCCAATTTATTGTCTCTTGAGCTTCACGTTTTATAAAATCAAGTTTTTGTAAGACAGACATAGTATTAAATGTAGGAAAGGATCCAATATGAAGAACGAACCTTTTGGAGACATGCAGGATTTAGTATTAGCAGAGGAAGAGGTTGTTCTTGTCCGCATCCTTCTTTCTTCAGCAGTCACACTTTTGCCCTTGCGGTTGCAAAAATGAAAAGAAATAATGTAACTCTTGAATTTAGGTTTCGTGTTTTCAACTGTGTGCTAGGATTCCTTGTTTGCATGTCTCCGTGGTGTAATCTATCTAAAACTTATTCTGCCTTCTTTTAAACATGCTTTCTTCTCCATATTTTCTAACTAAAACATATGAACGAAGTTTTTCCCTACTAATAATTTTTTTCTCATTGCCTTGACATCATGTTCTTCTTTGTAGGTACCAGGAATCAAACTCAGGATCTCATGCTTGCCAGGCAGGCACTGTGCCACTGAGCTTTATCCCCGGCCCCCTAAGATCATATTTGATACTTTCCCTTTTTTAAAAAAAATGTTTTATTTATTTATTTGGTACAGGGTCTCACTATGCAGCTGGGGCCTGTAGTGATCCTCCTGTCTCAGCCTCCCCAGCACTGGGATTGCAGGCATGCACCACCACGCCCGTTTTGTGGGCCAGCACAGCATGTGGTGCCGGGGGTTGAACCTGGGTCCTTGTGCTTGCCAGGCAGGCACTTAGACCGCTGAGCTGTTTCCCCACCCCTCAATACTTCCCTCTTACCCTTCAGATCAGATCACTTTCCAGAGCAGGTTGAGATTATTTTATATTCTTACTCTCTTTCTACTGCAAGTACCCTTTTGTACTCATTTTTTTTTTTTTTTACTTCGTGATATACCTGTTACTTCTCCTGCCAAACATTATTTACTTGTATGACTAGAGTGATTTGTCTGTTCTCCTTAACAATTTATACAGCATTTTGTAATCATAAAATATAGCAATATATTATTAGGCATTGCTTTGATTCCTTAAACTTTGTATCTGCTTTGTTTCTTCTCTCTTTTCTTATCCTTAATGGATGAGAGCAGCAGACTTCAAAATCTTTTTGCTCCAGGATTCCTTTATCTTCCTCTCAGTATGTAGTACATACTGGACTTGAGCTTGCTATGTAGCCCTGGCTACGTAACCCTCATGATCCTCCTGCCTCAGCCTCCAGGGTGCTGAGATTCAAGTTGAATGCCTTTGCTCCCTTCCTGTTTACCTTCTTAAATGTTGTTGAGTATCCCAAAGATCTTTTATGTACCTGGGTTGTAAGTACTGGTCTTTACCCCATTAGTATTTAAAGCCA